GCCCAGGAACCCCCGCCCGCGCCGGGCAGCCCCTCACTTTCCTACCCGGGCGAGGAGAAAGGTGTGGCCGTGGGCGGGGTCTGCCTGCTGGAATAGGCGCGGGAGGAAACACAATCTAAGCAATCCAGGCCTCGCTAACACAAATAACAATAATAATGGAAGAAACTCAATTTGCTTTGTGAAGATCTTTGGCATTCAACATTCGGTTCGTTTCTGCAAACTTCTCAAGGGATTACGATTACTGTCCACCCTACAGATCATGAAATCGCCGCTCAGATGAACTCTCTCAGCTTCCAGCAGCTGATGTCCCGGCCCCGGTTGGTCCCAGGCCCTATGCAGGAAGAGCTCCGATGTTGGTGGCTCACTCACACGCCTGGGGCTGTGTCTGGGGGGCTGGAGGCCTCCGCCACAAGGTGGAACGGAGACAGTTCCGCAAAGATGTCACACATTCGGCCACGGTCTGGATGATCTGTGTCCCTTTTTCTTTCTATATTTGGGTGTGGTGATTTATCGGAGTCCAGCAGGAAAGTGCCTCCGTCCAACATGTGGCCGTAGTGGTTTAGACAGCTGCAGTCAGGAAGAAAACAAGGTTCAGACAGACCAGAAATTCAGCTTTGATGAAGGAGAAATTAATAGCTTCTCTCTTCCAGAAGCTGGAACAACAGGTGCTGATGTTATTAAAGCAGCAGTGATTATTTTTAAAGGAACGGATGCCCCTTCCCACACCGTCTGGGAGTCAGCAGACCTGACTTCTAGACCCAGCTCTACTAGTAGAGAATCACTGCGTTTTCCTGGCCTCAGTTTCTTCATCTATAAAGTGGAGCATAGGACGTGATGATCACTAAGGTCCCTTCCAAGTTCATGACTTCAGAACACCGGCAATTTTACTTACAGCAAAGACACTCAGATTCAAGCAGCCGTTGGATGCTTGTGTGTTCTGGTTAATGTGAAGATTCAGACATTGTTGATTATTCTTCCACTTGTCCCAACAATGTCAAATCCAAGAAAAAACCCTACCCTATGTCCCCGCTCCCCAACACACACCTTATTCTTTTCACTAAACCTCTCTCCAAGCATTGCACTTTGTTTTCTTGCAGTTTTTTGGTTGTGTATCATTTTTAGCTACACAGAATTATGTATTTTAAATGCACTATTCACCAGATTTCTTCAGCTAGTAAGCTAAAAAAATTTCAATATCAAGAAATCATTCATTCAAGAAATACATGCCATGCACTTACAGTGTACTGTGTTTTGTGCTGGCTACTGGGACTCATCAAGAAGCCAGACAGCATGGCCATTTCCTTCAAATGGGGCCTAAAGTCTCCTGGGTAAAGCACAGAAATCAGACAAAAAGACAAAGAACTGAATAAGCAAAGAGAATGCAAGTATGATCAAAGCTCTCACCCACAATGAACAGCATCAATTTAAGCACATAATCTAGGTTAGGGTGGGGAAGGAGGTCAGAAAAATCATCAAAGGAATAACACTTAAAATGAGACCAGAAGAAGTCAAAGGAAGACTGAGTTTTTCAGAATGAGTCGTTTTCTTAGAAGATACCATTAGCCACCATTTATTGAGAGCTTACTATGAGCCAGGCACCATGCTAAGAATTTCACATGCGTGATTTTATTTAATCCTCACAGCAGCCCTATGAATAAGACAGTAATACCATCCTCATTTTACTGGTGAGGATACTTGCTCAATCCCTAAAGATAGAGAGTGTTAGTTTGCCTGGACTGTACCCAATTTCTCCTGACTCCTAAGCCCACCCACCACACTGCTGGTCACCACAGCCTCCATTAGAGAGAGCCCAGGATTGATTAACTGGGAGTTCTGTACAGACCATGAGATGGCTAGGTATCATCTTCCCATGGCAGCACGAGTTGATTTGGGTGGTGTTCAGAGGGTGAATACTTTCAGTTTTTGCCATTTGGAAAAACAATTAATGCAAGAGAATTGTACTTATTGTACTATTTAGAATTGTATAATTTCAGACAGTACCTATGCCATAACCTCCTTTCACGATCCACTGATCCTATTCACCAAAACATCCACAATTTGTTAGAATTTATTTATGAAGAAAAAAATTGTTTAACATTTCATATTGGAATTGATTTGGTGACTGGATAGTGCCACCTTTAAAACACAAAGTTTTTCCCAAATAGTCTACAATTTAATCTATAATTGGTGAACTTAGAAGTATGGTGCTCTAGGCAAATTCGTCTTCTTCTTTTTTTTTTTTTTTTTTATTACTGTGTTTCCTTTCTTCCTTAACAGTTAAGGGGAGGCCCTCTCACGGTTACTCTATGTAGTGGTTGACTATCTTCAATGCTGAAAGGTCGTTTATGTCACTTTGTCTCTCTTGTATTATCGTTTCTTTGTGTATCTGGAATGCTGTACTGAAATTTTATAAAATAACTTGCCAAGGATTTAGTGAGGTTCTGCTTGGGAGGTGCTACTGGGAGATGTTAAAATAGTCTTGTTCCTTCCGTAGGAAATAAAAAAATCCCTCATTGGTCTTAAAAGACAACCAAAACTATTTTACTCATTTCTTCTGAGAAACTATAACTAGTAATTACAACATAAAGGTAGTAGTAATCATAATTTATGATAATCAAAATGAAATGTCAGGCAGTCTGCCAAAATATATTTAAAAACATATGAAAGAGTGCTGCCCCCTTTTTTAAACAGTTGAATTCTATAGACACTAACTGAAAAAGTGTATTTTCAAGTTATTTTACCTTTCAGTATGTGCCTGTGTGTGTATATATATAGGTATATATATATAAATAAAATCCAATTCATTTAAAAGCAAATTTCTGACACATCTTCACTAGTACAAATAGCAAGTCATGTAACTAAAGAAATGATCACTGATGACTTTACTAACTAGAGTTGATACAAATCAGATGGAGGTAATCATATTTCATTTGGCTGGCAGTTCTAAAAGCTGCAAGATCTACAGTGTTTTTCTGCAAGTTTCAGCAAGAGCAGAAGGTTCTTACCATCTGCACACCCATCAGCAGTCTGTTTAGGGAGAATGGCTTTCACTAGGTTCATTCATCTTTTTCTCATCTTTTCTCGTAAATAGAAATAGTATTGAAAATTTGGCATTTGGTTTACCAAAAGTTCTTTTAAATTAAAGTGTTTTTGTTAAAACCCAAACAAATATGTTAATTTACATTTATTTTAATTTTGTCTTCTGATTACCTAACCTCATCTAAAAATAAAAATGTTCATAAATTTGTGAAAAAATTGTTCTTGCTTTAAGATTTTTAATTTTTCACCCTCCTTATTTTTCTTGTAATTGACATACTGACTTCCAGAAAAGTAATTTTCATATTTTCAATTATATTTTTTCTCATTTGTCATTATAAACTATTGACATAGTTCTCTCTCATCCCCCCTCCTTACTCCATTGTTTTACTGAACCCCCTTTAATTTTTGATTTTGAGGTTTACTATGGATACATTTTCATTTTGGAGATATGGAGTTTCATGGAGGGCTTATTTCACTAATGCCTTCATATCTAAAAGAATGGCATAAGGGAAAGCAAAATGTGCGAAGATTTGCAAATCATATATATGAAAAGAATCTAGTATCCAGAATATAAGAGAACTCTTACAACCCAGAACAAAAAAGCAACCCAACCCAAAAAACTGGCTTGAATAAACATTTCTCCAAATAACATCTACAAAAGGCCAATAAGCACATGAAAACACCTCCAACATCATTAATTGTTAGAGAAATGCAAATCAAAACCACAAGATACTGCTTTACTTTCACTAGGATGGCAATAATAGTAATGATGATGATAATGGGAAATAATGTTGGTAAGGTTGTGGGGAAATCAGATCCCTTGAACGCTGTTGTTGATGGAAATGTAAAACGGTTCAGCCACTGTGCAAAACAGCTTGACAGTTCCTCAAAAAGTCAGACATAGAATAACCATATGACCCTGCAGGTCCACTCCTAGGTAACCCCAAAGAGATGAAAACATATGTAGAGACAAAAACTTCTATATAAATGTCCATAGCAGCACTATTTACAATAGCCAAAGGGTGGAAACCACTAAAATATCTGCTAACTAATGAATGGATGTACAAAATGGGTTATAGTCGTATGATTGGAATGTTATTTGGGCATAAAAAGAAATGAAGCATGAATACATGCTACAACCCAGAAGAACTTCGAAAACACTGGGCAAGTGAAAGAAACCAGACACAGAAGGCACATACTGCATGAGCCCATTTATATAAAATGTCCAGAAGAGGCAAATCCAAAGAGACAGAAAGTAGATCAGAGCTGGGCGTAGTGGCTCACACCTGTCATCCTAACACTTTGTAGGGGTTGAGGCAGCTGGATGGCTTCAGCCCAGCAGTTTAAGATTGGCCTGGGTAACATAGTGAGACCCTGTCTCCACAAATTTTTTCTTTCAAAGTAGATCAGTGCCTGTCAGGGGCTGGGAGGAAGGAAGAAGGGGAAGTGACTGCTTAATGGGTACAGGGTTTCCTTTTGGAGTGAAAATGTTCTGGAACCAGACAGTGGTGATGGTTGCACACATTATGAATATAATAAATGTCACCAATGGTATTTTCATGTTGTGTGTATTTTACCATAACAAAAAAGAATCTAGAACAAATAAATAAATACAACCCTGCAGCTGTGAAAGTAGTTATCTGCCCATGATGTCACTTGAAGGTTCTGAAGCAGGTGCACCAATTTTGAGAGGATCTATTCTTTTAACAGTGAATGGCCCAGAAAGAGAAACATTTAGAAAGTCTGAAACACAGCCAGATACCTCTGAGCATGATTCCAAGTCCCTAAGCTCAATGTTGCAAACCCTGTTACGGACTGAATTGTGTCTCCCCCAAATTCGTATGTTAAAGCCCCTAATCCCTAACGTGACTTTACTAGGAAATAGGGCCTCTAAAGAGGTAATTAAGGTTAAATCAGTGGGGTCCTAATCCAAAAGGACTGGTGTCCTTATGAGAAGAAGAGACACCAGCCATGTGTTGGCAGAGAGCAAAGGTGGTGTCCTCACTCAGTGAGAAGGCAGCTGTCTGAAAGCAAAGGAGAGAGGTCTCAGGAGAAACCCAAACTTGCAGGCAACTTGATCTTAAACTTCCAGCATCCAGAACTGTGAGAAATAAATGTCGGCTGTTTAAGCACCATCTGTGGCATGTCTTATGGCAGCCCGAGTTGACCAATAGACCATCCCTCCCCTTTCTCCTCTCCACTAACATCAGGAATGCCATGAGATGCAAGCATGAGGTCTTCCTTCACCATAGTCCTCAAATGTAAGGCAGCTTGGGCCTTAACTCTATCTATGGATCATGCAGGGATGACTTGAAGTGACAGGAGCTACATATGCCCTAGAAACAGTTTGAGAAAACTAGATCTCAGTGTAGGATAAGAGACAGTTAACATGTGCTGATGTGAAATGGTTGGAGAATGGAGTGAGGCCAACCGGCTGCTAAGATTTGAATATTGTACATATCCAAGTTCAATTTCCTCCAGTACATTTTATTCTGGTCTCTATGGA